CGCGTGAGGGGTGTGCCGAATTGGGGACGGGTTGCGCCGTGCGAGGCGAGCCCTGCTGTTGGGGCGTCCGGTGGGGCTCCCTATGGGATCATGAAATGTGTGAGGGGTGTTGTACCGAAATGGTGGGGCTCCCATAAGGGGCCGCGTAGCTCATGAGAGGTGTGCCGAAATCGAGGCGGGGCGCCGCCATCTGGACCCTGCCGACGGGGCGCTCTGTGGAGCTGAGGCCACGAAGCGTGTGAGTTTTGAGCCGAAACGAGGCGGCGCCTTCACGCGGACCCTGCCGATGGGGCAATCCGTGGAGCTCCCGATGGGGCCGCGAAGCGTGTGAGCGGTTTGCCGAAATCGGAACGGCGCCGCCATCCAGATCCTGCCGATAGGACGTTCGATGGAGCTCGTTATGGAGCCACGAAGTTTTGTGGGGTGTGCCGAAATGAGGCGGCGCCGCCATGCGGACCTTGGCACTTGGGCCTTGAATGAGTTTTCCATGTGGCCACGAAGCGTGTGAGGGGTGTGCCGAAACGAGGCGGAGCCGCCATGCGGGCCCTGGCATTTAGGCCTTTGTGGAGGCCACCTACGAGGTTACGAAGCGTGTGAGCGGTGTGCCGAAATGAGGCGGCGCCGCTATGCGGACCCTGGCATGTTGGTCTTAGTTTGGGATCCGTATGGCCACGAACCGTTTGAGGGGTGTGCCCGAATGAGGCGCTGCCGCCATGCAGAGCCTGCCATTTGGTCGTTTCTGGAGCTCCCTATGTAGCCACGAAACATGTGAGTGGTCTACCAAGATGGTGCGGGGCCGCCAGGTGGACCCTGGCATTTGGGCCTCAGCTCAAGCTCCGTATCGGGCCACGGAACGTGGGAGTGGTGTGCCGATATGGGGGTGTTGAGGGCATCGGCGGCTGGGACGTGAGGAGGGAGGAGCGGGAGGAGGAAGGAGGACGAAGGAAGGAGTGGCGCGGAGCGTTGTCTCTTCAAAGCCCAGCACACGATGGTTGGGAAACACAACAACAGAGCTCTAACCTGAAAGACAACATAGCGACACTCATCGAACCGACAGGGCGGTTACGATCTCAACGGAGTCGAAACGTGAACCTTGGACACGGGAAACATTGCGCCCTCAGCGTTTTCCAGTCACATCTAAGATCGGTTGTCAGCGCGTGGCCCTACAGTGTCTGCTACCCCTGCTCCATGTTCACCTTGCATGGGGATCCACCTTTGACTTCCTCAGGAAGCAGATCTCACACCACTTCGCATGGGCAATGATATGAGTGCGCGAAGCCATGAGCAAGTACATGCCAGAGGGCGACACGCACCATGTTGACATCGCAAGAGTATCCGAGCGATGAAGAAGTGGCCGCTGTCTGAGCGGTCGGGCGCCTCACTATCCCAAGATACTGTGCGAGAAACATACACTTATTTCGCACGCGAACTCACAAACCAATGAGGCGGTGGTTTGTTGGTGTCCTCGTCATGGCACGCCCGTGCATGGCGAATGCAGCACTTACGTTGTATTGTGTTCTGATGCGCTTTGATTCAGGCTTTGGTATGCTGCGGCCGTCGCGAACGCCATGCTTTATGATGCAAGCGCGTCCAGAGCCATGAAATACGCACGACAGTTGCAAACACGCTCTGCAAATGGTCAGTTGTTGTTGGGTCATGCTGGCGTTCTTTGCAATCTTATGGGAGGGAGGGGGGGCAGAAACGGGTTTGGCCCGCTGACTCGTTCGAGTTGTCTACCGTGATGCCCAGTCCGAATCTTGAGTTTGATTACGTACTCTTACTCATGCCCGAGCCTTCATCCCAATCATGCTTCCACTCCTCCGTTTCCTCTCTCTGCTTGCATATTCTCCCACGTTCGTGGGTAAGGAGTGCCTTGGGCCAGGCGTGCAGGGGCGCCGCACGCACTCAAGATTCCTGAGCACGCGGTTGCGGGCACGCGTGGAAATCATAAAGTTCGAAGTTCAAACGGTATTCGCGAGATTTGGCGGTGTTTCTGTATGATGGTGTCGGAAATGGGGGCTTTGAGTATGGATCGAAAACAGATGACGCGCACCTGCGCCACGCAGGGGGGCGGTGCTTGATTGATTAAGAAAGAACGACCTGTGATGAGCGGTTTTCGGTTTATATCTGAAGATCGGTTCCAGATACAGGTTGTTGTTCGAATTCTCCAGTCCAGATATAGGTTGTAGTTTCACTCCTATCCGCGCCTGCGAACGTTGCATACATGTACATATGTGTACCTGTATATACACAAGACTGCATTGGCGCTTCGCGCCATGCACCTTGGTCCTTCAGGATCGGCGCGCAGGCGGCAGGCGGGGCGTGGGAGAGAGAGAGAGAGAGAAATGCCCAACGGACCAAGGTTTTTTGTTGCCAACAACACCATCGTTGTTACACATATGTTATGTATATCTTGTCCTTCATGTTTCCTCTTCATCTTTACTCGTCGCTTGCGAACGCGTCCCTGTTACAGTTTTCATGGTTTTATCGCGTGGCCTCTTCCTTGCAGGGTTGTCCTGTAATCTCGCGAGGGCTTTTCGGGGGTTCTGCATGATAAGGATGCAAAGCCATCCGTGTGATACGGATTCCAGACACAGCCCCATGTGAATAATTCAACCTATCGCATGTGTAGGGATCCAACTAATCGGTCCGAATCCGCCGACATTTGGGGTCCCAGCTTCTGGAGCAGTCGTGAGCACAGACGATGGAAGCACGAAGGGAGGGGAAGGCGAGTTCCTAATATTGGGCGTTTCCGGGTATTCTCAGAGGCCCGTTTGGACCGTTTTGGTGCCTTTTTTGAATCGTTTTGTGGCCTTTGTGGGCTGGCCTGGGGGGGCTCTGGCCGTCGGGGGGCTCTGCGGTGGGCTTCTTGGGCCTGTCTTGGGGCTTTCTTGGGAGCCTCTTGTGGCCGTCTTGTGCCGACTCGGGCTTCTCTTGGGCCATCTTGGGGCTAATTTGGACCGTCGTGGGGCTCTTTGGGGCTGTCTTGGGGCCCTCTTGCGGCTTTGCGGGGGCCCTCTGGATCTGTTGTGGGACGATTTGGGCGGCCTCTTGAACCGTTGTAGAGCTTTGGAAATCAAACAAACGAGTATGGCTAAACATGTGCGATTTCCCCAAGGAATGGAACGAGTGTGTCTTGTTACGCGTTCTCTTGGGACTCTTCGGGGCGGTTTCTTGGACTGTCTTGGAGCTAGTACTTGGGTGCCTTTATGGCGTTTGGGATTCTCTTGAATTGTCGTGGAGCCATCTGAGGCCGTCTTGGAGCGTTCTTCGGCCGTCTTGGATCCGTATTGGACCTCTTTGGGGCCGTCTTGGTGGCCTCTTGGGCGCCCGGGGTGGTCGAAATGCGTTTGGTGGGGGGGAAGCAGTAATACATTAGAATTCGTTACACATAGGAATAGCTAAATGTATGTATCTTTGTTCCTGGATTTTTCTCGTCCCCCCTCACTCTGTAACCCCGTTTGCTGACTGCTGTCAGGGGCCTCGCTGGGTTTCCAATGCGCATCCCCAGGGTGGCTCGGGGACATACAGCGTTCGGCCCGAAGCATCCACATCGGGGCACTTGCGCATCGCTTTTCCGCGGCGACATTGGGGCACCCTCAGCGTTCACCTCATGCTTCGCGTATTGCCGTGCATTCCCGCGCGCGGGAAAAAGGAGTGTGTTTCTTGCGCCCTTCTTTCTTCTCCGCAGTTGCGTGGGGCTTGGGGCGGGGCCATACCCATGTTGTCTCCCAACAAGAACGTTGTGCACACACAGCGTGGCACATTCTTCTTCCCCCAATACCCTCAAGGTCCCCCATGGCCCGATGGCTGGCGAAGACCCCGCCGACCCAACGATCACTCCAGACGGTCTCATGAACTCCACAGGGCCCCCAGGGAGCAACCCAGGGGCCTCGAAGTAGCTCGGAATGGCCCCCCTCCCTCTTCTCCGCCCTCCTCGCCTTCTTTCTTCGTTTTTTTGCAGATGGGTCTGAGGCTTTGCGTAGGATCCTTTGTCCGTCCCCTAGCGGGGTCGGGACTGCCCTGCCCCTCTCTCCTCCCTCCTCTCCCTTCTCCTCCTCCTCCTCCTCTTCCCCCGTTCCCTCCTCTCCCCTCCCTCCCCTCCCCATCCAGACCTGCGCAGTCCTGCGTTATCCTGGCCAGCGGAGGGTCTCCTCTGAGAGGGGGCGGCGAGCCGCCCACAGCGGCCGGCCGCGGGAAGCACCGCGGCGCCTCTTCGGCGTCCCGGTCTTTCACGCCACCAGTCTTGCGCGGCAGTGATCCGCCTGCTGCGCGTGCGGTTTTCGGTTCGCGCGTGCAACGCCCTCCATTCTCCGCAATAGTGGAATTCCTGTATGCGCCGTGCGTACGCTCGAGCACCCTCACCCTGTCTTCGTAGATTTCGTGGTTATTCACGGCCTACTCAGAGTCTTGGGGCTTTTATTGTGCACCGCCCCTTGGTCACAGGACTTTGTTTCGATTCCCTGCTCCTCCCCCCTCCCCTCCGCGTCCTCCTCCCTCTTCCTCGACTTAGTATGTGTTTTTGTTCTGTCTGGCGCATCCCGTCCCGACGGAGGGCATTTCGCCGGCAGCGAGGTCGATGCACGCGTAAGGGCGTGCGCTCGTAGAGCGAGCTTGATACAAATTCTAATTCGTTCGCCGCGTCCTCCTCCCTTCTCCTCTCTTCGCCAGTGTTTTTTTTCATTTCTGGGATGTTGCTGTAAAGTCAGCCACTGGTCAGCCTCTGCCGCGTACCGCTACGGAGTGCACGGAGTATTCGTGAGATGTTGCGGGCGTCCCCTCCTTCTCGCACCTCCTTTTCCTCCCCCCAGAAAAAATCCCGAAGACGCCCCACGAGGCATCGCGATAGACACCATTAGTGTTGTGATAGTTTCTCTGTGTGCGCTAGACGCTGCAACAAGAGCGCCCGCGAACCGCGCGTATGGTTCAAGTATGCATGTGCGTGCGTATTCCAACTGAAAGATGATGAACGTTCATTGATACCTGAAAAACGTGTGGCCAGTTGGCCTCCGTGGTCGTTGGCTCAAGCTGCAGTGTCGTCTTGTTCGGGAGGTCGTAGTCTTACGTCTCCCCCATCTTCTACACGAAGCCGATCGCGCGCCCGTGGTGGCTGTCTTCTTTTTTTGGCGGCACGCCTGGGGGGAAGTGAAGGAGCAACCCCTCTCAGAAGGCGACGGGGCTTCCCAAAAGCCCTCGCGCCTTCTGAGAAGCTTTATGTTTCCTCGGGGAAGGCTGAGAAAACCTTTCAAAAGGCCAGATGCCTTCACAGCCTTCTGAGAAGATCCGCCCCCCCCCGGCTCGCCGCCGAAAAGGGGCGGTTGACGAATCAGCTCACGTCGCCAGGAAGCCAGACCTTCCAAGGTCTAAACAGGATTCTTTCGTCGAGCTTGGCGTCTGGAGGTCTTTTTTCTCCAGGGGCGCCGCCGATTTCTGTTTGTCTGCTCCCACGCCTGGCATGGAGCCTGGTGTCGCGTGGCATGGGCCAGGTAGCAGCCGTGGCAGCCTGCCGGGCCGAGGCTGGGCGACGCTTCGGAGCGCCACCGCCCTGTGCCCGGGCACCAGGCGAGAGACAGCCCAGAGGCGGCGACTACAAAGGGTACGGTCAGGCCAAGGTGTGGTTTGCGATCGGCACCACTGGGGCTTGGGTGGGGAGCACGTCACTGTCCTTGTCGGGTCTCCTCGGGGCGCGGCGGAGAGCTGTGTCGAGGTCCTCGTCCGCCCCCCAGGGTGTCGGCTGCAAACCACACCCTTTGCAAACCACACCTTTCGGAGTCGCTGGCAGAGGCCCAGCCTACTGGCTTTCGCGTCCATGCCGCGGGCGTCAGCGCGGCAGCCTGCGCGGGCAGCTGGAGGCAGGCGGCGGTCTGCAGAGGGAGGGCGTCGGGTGGACGCGCTTCTGGGGAGGCCGTCCGAGCTGTGGCTCGCGCGGCTGGCGCTGGCCAGCGGTTTGGGTTTCATCTGTGGATGGTCGCACGTGGTCTCCCAGCAGCGATTCAGCGCCTTCGTTGCCATGCTCACTGGGAACACCATCTATCTGAGCATTGCGGCCTGCGGCGGTAAGCTGGTCGCCGCCGCTGGCTATTTGGCAATCATCGCCTCGCATCTCGCAGGCACGGTGCTCTACCACTTGGCGCGTCGGCTCTGGCCCGCCGCCCCAGTTGCAGCTGCGCTGGGGCGCCCGATGGCACTGCTGGCGGTGGCGGGGGAGCTGTCGTTTGCAGCGGTGGGAGCGCGCCCGTGGCAGGCGTGCCTCTACGCCCCTGCCTTTGGAGTCCAAGGCCAGCTTGCGGGCTCCCTGGGGGTCCAGACCACCATGATCACGGGCTGCCTGCACAAGCTGGCCGAGGCAGCCGCTGCCTGCTTGGCCGGCCAACTGACGCGAGGCCTGGCCGAGAGCGCGGTGCTCTCGGCAGCAGTTGTGGGCGCCACCGTGGCCGGCGTGGCTTCCTGCGTGTTGGTGACACGCAGGCTCGGGAGCACGCGCTGGTGCCTGCTGCCTGTGGCGCTGCTGCAGGCCTTGCTCCTGACGATGCACGACCGCCTGCCCACTGCCCCTGACGATGCACGATGAGAGTCCGCCGTTGCCGCCCATTCTTACGTTTTTCAATGTGAGGCGCATCCCACGAGGGCAGACCGCAGCGGGAAATTAACCAGAGGGGGGACCAGTGCACGGCTGCGGGGCGGGCGGGACACGACGCGTTCGCCACGACCCCGCGAGTCCAATGCCTTTTTCTCTTCACCGCCTCGCCACACCACCAGGGAGGAGGGTGCATAGGCAAGGGAGCATTGGACTGACGATTTCGACAAGGGCCTCTGAGGGCCTCTGAGGGAGCATTTGACTGACGATCGCGATCGCGACGGTGTTTCTCGTGATGCTCGCGGCAGCGATCACAGCCGTGCCTCGCGCTCTTTTGACCGTCGTAGGCTCGGGGAAATGGGAAAGCGCACAGGAAGGACCAAGGGCGGGCATGGAGGAGGGTGAGAGAGGAGTAGACGAGAGGGGTAGGTTGGACTACTGGGGTAAGGGGTGACTGGGGTGGAGGAGGTGGAGGGATGAAGAAGGGAGGGGAGGGGGAAGGAGGACGGGGTGAGTGTGTGATAGAGCGGCAGGTGCGCTGCGTAGTTGGTGGCGCAGTGTGAACAGGGGGAGGGAGGGGGCCACCACACATGTAAGTAAGTTTCGCGATTCTCTCCCCCCCCTTGTCAGCTAGATTGGGCAACGGTTTTTCCGTCTATCCTCTGGTGTATTACCCCCCGCGTTCTGGCATCTCTTGGTCCCCGTCGGCTCTCACCTTGGCACGGCGATGGGGCGATGAGGGACGGGAGGCCGCACTGCGTGGCACAAGGTTTGAAGCCCGATCAAGCCATGGTGAGTAGCAAACCCCCCAAGCACCTCCACTTCCAGGAAGCCTGCGGCAGCCTCCAGTGGGCCTGTCGGGGCCGCTCCCAAGGAGGGAGGTGCAGTGGCATTGCGGAGGACTGCGAGAGGGATTGCGCAAGGCCGCGAACTCACGGCAAGCGACAGGCTCTTTTGGGGCCTCCGGAGGTTCCTAAGGCGGTGGGTCACCCTCGGCGGCGCAGGGCCTGGACGAGAGAGGTGCCCTTCACGCTGGGGCGGCGCGGTAGCGCGAAGATGATTGCCAGTCGCGCCTTTGCGCGGCGCGACTCGCAAGGTTTTGGTGACTTGGGGGGGAGGCCTTCAGGGGAGTGCAGGCAGTCGGGGTTGCCGAAAATGGTGCGTGTGTGTATGAGTGTGTGAATGTGTGTGCGTGTGTGTGCGTGTGTGTGTGTGTGTGTGTCCGTGTGTGTCCGTGTGTCCCTGTCTTCTGAGCTGGCCGGCCTCACGCATTTTCCGCTTTCCGTTCTTCGACCTTCTACGCCTCGACGCTGCGCGCGATGCCGCGACGCCAAACAGATGGGTGCGTATGTGTTTCTCCCCGTCTCCCCGTCCCCGCAGCTTCACTCGTGTTTGCCCCCTCGCGAGTGATGCTGTCCATCCCCCATGGGTTGATCCAGTGCCCCCATGCCGCGTGACCTGGGTAATCCACGCGCGTTTCTTCGCCCGACTTTCTAAGCCGTTCCAGAGCGCGCGTTGCTGCGACGCCCACAAAAGCGTGTGCGCGTGCACGCACATACATGTGTATGTGTGTGTGTGTGTTTGTGTGTGTGTGTTTGTTTCTGTGTGTGTGTGTGTGCGTGCGTGCGTGCGCGCTCGCGTGCGTGTGAGTGTGTGTGCGTGTGTGTGTGAGTGTGTGTGTGTGTTTTTGTGTGTGTGCTGACACGCTTTTTATGTATAGCCGATACTATGTGTTTGCCAGTTTGGGCCCGGTTAGAGTAACCAACTGCCCCGGATGATAAATCATTCCCCCCTTTCCACCCTGTAGCTTTTTTTTTATATCCCGTGTCAGTAGGACTTACGTGTGGAGAGGGCGCGGATGCCGAACTTGAGCACCCCCGGGGGAAATTGCGAATCGAAATTGTTGTCGTCTCATGTTGACTAGCAACAACATCTAAACCGCTGGGCATGGCAGTGGTGGTCTCACCATTTCAGCTTCCGCTAGGTTCTCACCAATTCCGTTTTCCCGAGTCACGAACGTGCGGCAGGGCCAAGGGGTTCTCACTTCCTCAGCCGTTCCCAAGCCAGGAACGTGTGGCACGGCCATGAGGACCGATTGGATTTTGAAGTTACACGCGTTTTTCGAGCAGGCGGAGCATTGGAACTACTTTTTAGCGCATCCCTCACACGGGTCGTGGCCCCTCCTCCTCCTCCTCCTCCTCGGCCACCTCCTCCTCGTTCTCCTTCTCCTCCTCTTCCCCGCTCCCCAAGCAACTGCCCAGGCCCGAGCTTCCCCGAGTCTCCGAGTCTCCAAGTTTTCGGGCCCCTTCGAGGCACCGAGCTGCACCTCCCCCAGGGGCAACTATGTGGGTGGATAAGGAATAATTAGTTCAGGGGGCGCATCGATCCCCAATCGCCGGTTGATCGCAGAGAGTGGTTCGTTAACCTGAACCTGCCCAGGAACGTGCGGATTCACGATCTGGCGCCCATCACCGATGCATTGGCGATGTGCATCGCCGATTCCAGGTCGATGTTTCCCCCCACCCAATGCCTATCCCCCCCACATCGTTGCCCCTGAGTGCGTCGCGAGCCTCGGCCATGCCCCAGGCCGCCGAGCGCGCCCGGGCGGCGACCCAGCAGGTCGCGGCCCTGCATGGAATCGCGATCCAGAGCGCGAGCCCGAGCTCGAACGATATTGTCGAGCGCATGGCCACGCAGAACGAGAAGATCCTCGACGAGCTGTCCTTCATCGCGGACAAGATCGCTATTGCCGAGATGCGCCCATGCCAATCGAGCGCGCAAGGCGCTGACGCAGCAGTAATGACGGCTTGCTATTTCAGGGCGGACAGCGGCCTGTGGTCGGTGAGCGCCCAGCAAGCCGCCCTCGAGATGGCGCGCAACGATGGTTCTTTCAAGAGCACCAGGGGCATCGAGCACGGGCGCATCTGCAACGAGAAGGACAAGAGGCCCGTCGAGCTGGCGGTGGCATTGTCCTACAAGACCCACTGCGAGAAATACGCCCGCCTGTGCGACATCTCCGAGAATCGCGGAGAGCCGCCCGAGAACCTCTTCTGGCTCATGCCGCGCTTCAAGTCGAATATGCTCGTGCATGCCAAGAAGAAGGACATCGAGCTCGGCGCCGAGAGCGCACAGCGCCTCAGCTTCGGCTCCCGCGCCGAGCGCGTCGGCGAGGCCCTCCCCGATATCCCATCCGAGCTCCCTTAACCACTCCCGACGTGAACTACGAGCTCCAGGAGCGGAGCTACATGGACAAGCGCTCTAAGCGTGACTACGCCAGCGCCGAGAAGCAGCTCAGCTTCGAGACGATGGCTCTCAACCAGCACCTCAAGATGAATTCCGAAGAGTTCGCCGGGACCCACGCCGACCGCGACAAGATGACCGCTCAGCGAGAGCCCGAGAAGAGCCAGGCCGACGCGAAGGCCGAGCAAGGGGCCGACAAGTCGACGGCGAAGGGCGCCCTGGAGCCGAGCGGGCGCGGGCGGCGAGCGCCTGGCGAACGAGCGCCCCGAGCCGAGCGCTCCCCGTGCTTTTCGCTGCGAGGGTGCCGCGCGAGCGTCTCGAGGCGCGCGCGAGAGCCCCATCTGCTTGCAAGCTCCAAGCGAGCGCCCGAGCACGCGCGAGCGGCGCTCCAAGCTGCGGGGCGCTACCCCCCCCTCTCGCCGAGTGATCTTCGATCAAGCATCAAGCAATCAAGCGGGCTCGATCCCCCATCCCCAGATCGAGGGCCCGAGATCTTGAGTCCGAGCATCCTCGAGCACCTTGGGTCCTGGATCCGAGGATCGCCGAGCTTGGGCTCGAAGATGCCAGCTTCGCGATCCGAGCGTCGAGGATGGAGCCTCGGCGATCGTCGATCGCCGCCGTAGCCCCTGGGCCGCCGTCAAGGAGGCTCGATCCTCCATCCTCGGATCGAGGATCCGAGGTCTCGATTTCCGAGCAGCTTGGGTCCTGGATCCGAGGATCGCCGCGGTTGGGCGCGAAGATCTGCATCGCGATCCCAGGACCAGGGATCGAGCCCCGGCGATCGTTCATCTCCCTTGTCGCCGTCCTCGGGCCCGGACCGCCATCGAGCAGGCTCGACCTTCTGATCGAGGATCGAGGGCCCGAGATCTTGGTTCCGAGCATCTTCGGGCGCCTTGGACTTCAGATCCGAGGATCGCCGCGCTTGGACTAGAAGATCTCGGCTTCGCGATCCGAGGATTGAGGATCGAGCCTCGGCGATCATCGACTGCCCCCGTCGCCGTCCTCGGCCCCAGACCGCCATCGAGGAGGCTCGATCCTCCATCCTCGGATCGAGGGTCCGAGATCTTGGTCTTGAGCATCTGCAAGCACCTCGGATCCTGGATCCGAGGATCGCCATGCTTGGAGTCGAGGATCCTGGGTCCTCGATCCGACGATCGAGGGTCGAGCCTCGACACCTAGCGGCCGCGCGCACACGCGCGCGCAAACGCACGCACACACAACCACACTAACACATTAACACGCACACACACACACTCTCTCTCTCTCACACACACGCACACGCACGCGCACACGCACGCGCACATGCACACGCACACGCACACGCACGCACACGCACACACACACACACACACCCACGCCCGCACCCGCACCCACACCCACACCCACACCCACACCCACAATACACACACAATACACACACGCACACACACACACACGCACACACACACACACACGCACACACACAGACGCACACACGCACACGCACACACATGCAAACACACACACACACACACTCGCACACTCGCACACTCGCACACACACACGCACACGCACACGCACACCCAACACAAACACGAACAACAGCAGCCATAACAACAACAGCAACTAGCAAATCAACAGCAACATTAGGCCACAACAGCAACACGACAAATAACAGCAGCACAAACAACAGCTGCCGCAACGGCACAGGCCAAGCCCACCGCATCACCCATGCATCGCCGAGGCCCGGCGATGCATCGCCGAGGTGGCGCGGCTACGTGGTGCAATGGGCGCAAGCTCTGTGGTGCAGGCGCTGTTCGGGTCAAGCCCGCTGAGGGCGCAACACTTGCCGTGGCCGATTTAGGATCAAGCATTCCAAGCCCCTTTTCCGCCCCGGCAGCGAGGATGGCCGAGTCGGACAGCGACGATCGTCGGCCTTTCGCCGAGCGGTCGGACGGCGAAAGCGCCGTCTCGTCGACGTCCCCCGTCGAGCATGCGCGGGGCGATGAGCGGGCGCCAGGCGGCGCGCAGACCGAGAACCTCGAGGAGGTGAAGAAGTCCGAGGACGGCGTCGAGCTGCGCGAGGAGACGCAACCAACCGGGCTGGAGGAGGACGCCAGCAAGCCCGAGGACAGATCCTCGACGACAA